GTAAAACTCGAGCGTCACGACATTGCGAAGTGTCTGCTCTTGTTCCTCGTATCGAACTTAGTCGAGTCAATCCGAGATGGCCCGAGTGAAGTTTCATGCAAATGTTTCGTACGGAAAAAAAAATCGCCACCGGGGACCACTTTTGACGATCAGATTTTGAGCGACAATGCGCCCACGCGCACTTGCACCTTACACTTTCGTTGGGAACCCAGGAGTTGGGCATGATTCTGGTGCCACCTCTGGTACCAATAAAAAGATACATTAATTTTAAACATTAAAATGCTCGTAAATTAAACGAATCAGAACCTCCTCTGACACATTTAGTTTTTGCTGCTTTAGCCTATCATCACTTTTTTCTAAGAAATATAAAATATTTCACATAAAGGCCCTTCTACTCTGAACTCGGAACTGGATCAATCAAGGTAAAATTTAAAAAGAATAAAATCCGTGGATTAATGCAAATTTAAATGCCTCTTGCAACTGTTTTGCATTTGATAATTTGTGAAATGTTTCTCGTTCGTTCTGATTTATTTGCTCTGCTTTAAAACCTACCGTACTATATACTGAATTTGATTGTTCATGTTATACAAAACAGTTTCAAACTTGATATATTCTATATTTGACGAATTAAATGGGAAGTAGGCATATTCCTTGCAACAATTGCTTCATAAGGCCTTAAATTTCAGATTAGGCCCTATATAGGTCTACTGTACATTTTTTTTTTTATAGGAAACAATGGAACTGTGGACTATTCACAGATAAATTCTCATGTGTTATTTAGACCTTGTTGTGGTTCTCAGACATTACAAATCTTTATTTTCGCTGTAAATAGCATCTTGACGTTGTGCTTTAGTTTTAAAATGTCTCTTTGTGTAGATCAAATTCGGTGTTAACAACATAAGGGTTTCCTCCGTTCGGACGGCGAGATTAAAGAAAGCTAGCTTCTAACAGAATTGTAATTTGGGAGTGCATGAACTTGAAAAAAAAAAATTAGACGTATAGACCAATCCAACAAGTTATCAATACGCGTAGTGGTTGGGATATTAATTTGATCACTATCAAATTGAGTTTATACAAAATGTATTTTAATTTTAGCCTACAGTGTTCAGTTACAGCATGGAAAAAGAAAATAGTTACAGCACTGTGTGTGCGGCATGTTTGGAGCACCTTTCCAGTGTAAGGGGATCTGTTAGAGATTTAAAGGAACTATTTAATATCAGTTTAATATACTGCAATAGCGCCCTCTTTTGAGGCAAAGCTGTGGCTGGAAATACCCACATGTGTGGTCCATGATGATGAGAAGATTCGAAAATACGATTATTTTGAATTGAGAATTTCGTAACTGTGACGATATCGTGATATTATTTTGTCGTATTTTTCGAATATTCAACAATGTAAAATATGTCACGGTCCAAAGTAGAGATTGATAACTTTATTATTTCTTTCAGAAGAAAAGCAAAAAGCGAACAAGAGGTACTTCATTCTTGATAATTGTTTTGAAAGGAAGGGAATGTAATGCTAGGCTAGGCCTAACATTTGCTTGTTGGCGCGCGGCCGTTGGCTTCTTTGTGGCCACCTGCACAACTGTACTTAACGTGTTATCAATACTGGCTTGCCTAGCTAGGCGTAGCCTGGGCTATTATTGTAGTAAAATTTGTTTGATTTCTTTCTCATGGTAGGCAGATGTAATGCAGTATGACACAGAGATTGAAGTGCAACACTTTGTCAGCCTGGCATCAAAATAATTTTCACATTATAATAGGCCTAGTCTAGATAGATACTAAATATTAGGTAGGCCTTCGACTTCGCTTTAATTGTTGAACGGATACTTTGCAACCTCCAATATTCAGGAAACATGTGAGCATCCATTGATATGGGAACCATCCAATTCGAGTGGACGCCACTTTGAGCGCGAATTTTACTTCGAGCGGATGCTAGTTCGAGAGGAAAGATATCCATTTGTGCAAACAACAACTGTACGAATTACTTGAAAATTTTCTATTTTGAGCTAACAACTTGAATTCCGCTGAGGCTCAAGCTTTGTCTGGGAGCCAAGGGAAACGCCCTGGTGGGTTCTGGGGAATAGCCTTTTCAGGGAGTTGTTATTTAATAGATTTTTAGGTTAACAATTTTAAACAAACATACCTATGTTCATAAAATAATGATTTATCTATAGTAATTCGTAATTGTTTTTTCTTTCCACTCGCTTTAAGAAAGGGTTTTGAACTATCTATAGACGAATGGTGAATAGTGGGGAAAACTTACATGATGTCATGTCAGTCATTATTACTGTACTGTTGATAGTCTTGTCAAACTACACCAATGTTTTATTCACTTTCTGACACCTATCTATGTAAATTATAGTTTAAATTTCTATGGTGAATATTCAATTAAAGTTACTACTAAATAAATATAACTCATGAATTTTGGACTACAAATACAATTACAACGTAATTCAAATACAAATGTAATTTGCTTTTTCAAATACAAAACCCCAAGTTCCAACTGGAGACAAAAACCGTGAATTCAGATTGAAACGTGCGCAATTCATGTATTTGTGAGTGTAACAGTACTTTCGTTTGTTTTAAATACAAAAATGCTCTGTGTACTAAAGTTCTGAAATGTTTTAGCTACTTTTGATAATTATTCTATGTTTGAATTACAGTCTTGGCCAATCAAACTACAGTACTAGACGGCCGCTAACAAGCACTTAGGCCTGCTATAAAACTATTGAAGTGCGCACGTTTCATTCTGAATTCAACGTTTTTGTCTCCAGTTGGGGTTTTCTATAAATTTTAAAAAGCAATATATATTTGTACTGTAATTTACTTTGTTGTAATTGTATTTGTAGGCAATTAATTTACGATTTATATTTATAAATGGGAGTAACTAATGGTTATTCACAAAAATAAATTTAAATTAATTTTTACATCTACTGTACTGTAGGTGTCAGAAGGTGCACAAATCATTGGTGTAGTACTGTAGTATGACAAGACTATCAACAGTGCAGTAAAATAGTGACATCATATCAAGTTTCTCACAATTCACCATTTGTTATGATTCAAAACCCACTTTCTTAAAGAAAGAAAAAAAATTAGGAATGACTTAGAGTACTTAAGATAAATAAATAATTATTTTTATGGGCGTAAATTGTTAACCTCAAAATCAATTAAATACGACTTCTATAAATAAGGCTAAAGGCTTCTCCTCTGGAACCCACCTGGGTTTTTCCCCTGGCTCCCAGGACTAAAGCTTGCGCCTTGGCCGAAATCAAATTTTTAGCTAAAAATAGGACATTTTTAAGTATATTCATACATAACTTGCACAGGCCGCTGTTCGCATAAGTGGATCTTTTTCCGCTTGAACTAGCATCCGTTCGAAGTAATTTTTGCTAAAATTGACAGGTTCCTGTAAACAACTGCTTCAAGGGGTGTTTAAATTTATATTTAAAGTTATACAGTTATTAATTTAATTATTTTATTTGTTTATTATTATAGTCTTTATTTTTTAATAATTACATTTTAAAATTTAGAATACTTAAGCTTGTTCAGGAGACTCTGAAAATGTGCACACAAATTGGCTCTGATTTTTGACGGATTCTGGGCCTGAAGTTATTACCTACACAGGCCTTATTTTACACTCTAGGGTTTTGGTATAGTTCAGTAGTCCTAGCCTGTGCAGTAACCTACAGTATTTGTGAAGTTTGGAAACATGTATTTGAGGCTTGGCTTGTGCGGCAGATAAGAGGTTTAGGCCCTGCTCATATTGCCACTAGTTGAATGTGAGTAGGATACTACATACAAAAATTATAGGATAAATAATATTTAATTTTGTCTTTATTAATTAGATTCAACTACGTGGATTCCAATTTGCCACATTTTACTGGGAAGCTAGGGAGTATGTTCTTGGTATAAAATGGGCACAGAGCTACCTAGCAGTAAAGCACAATGATAACAGAGCTCATAAGGTACTTGGCAACTTGTATGAGGGGGTGAAGGATTATGGCAAAGCAATTGATTGTTACAAGAAATCATTGGAGTTAAATGACACTCAAAGAGAATTGATACTAAGAAGTAAGTAATTTGCATTTGTATTAACAAACAGTAAAATATATAATATCGGTACTGCTGTGGCTAACATCTCTAAAATTGACTTTCTTTATGTCACTGTGTTTTATGTGGTTTTGAGCATTTAAAATTAAAATAATTGATGTTACTTTTTTTAGTTGCATCTCTTGGTTGTACCATTCCAAATTATGATGTTGAAAAGTTGCGATATTGGGTTGAGAGGGCAGAACGATTCTATCCCACTCACATCAATGTTCATAAAATTAAGGTAAGGAGGTTATAGTTCGCACTAAATGCATCCGCTCAAACTGGCATCCGCTCGAACTGTCATTCACTTGAATTGACTGACATTCCATTGATATGAAGATGAGTTGGTCTTACATGACTCCCAATGCAGACCCTGTAAACAACGAATGCCAGTCAATTCCAGCGAATGCCAGTTCCAGCGGACACCAGTTCCAGCGGATGCCAGTTCCAGCGGATGCATTTAGGGCAAATTTATCGGTGCCCTATTCTTGTATTTGTTAGTGTAACAGTACTTTCGTTTGTTTTAAATACAAAAATGCTCTGTGTACTAAAGTTCTGAAATGTTTTAGCTACTTTTGATAATTATTCTATGTTTGAATTACAATCTTGGCAAATCAAACTAGTAGACGGCCGCTAACAAGCACTTAAGCCTGCTATAAAACTATTGAAGTGCGCATGTTTCATTCTGAATTAAACGTTTTTGTCTCCAGTTGGGGTTTTCTATAAATTTTAAAAAGCAATATATTTGTACTGTAATTTACTTTGTTGTAATTGTATTTGTAGGCAATTAATTTACAATATATATAAATAGGAGTAACTAATGGTTATTCACAAAAATAAATTTAAATTAATTTTTACATATCTAGGTGTCAGAAGGTGCACACATCATTGGTGTAGTACTGTAGTATGACAAGACTATCAACAGTACAGTAAAATAGTGACATATATCAAGTTTCTCACAATTCACCATTCATTATGATTCAAAACCTACTTTCAAGAAAGAAAAACAATTACGAATGACTTAGAGTACTTAAGATAAATAAATAATTATTTTTATGAGCGTAAATTATTAACCTCAAAATCAATTAAAAAATACGACTTCTATAAATAAGGAACCCACCAGGGTTTTTCCCCTGGCTTCCAGGACTAAAGCTTGAGCCTTGGCCAAAATCAAATTTTTTTAGCTCAAAATAGGACATTTTTAAGTATATTCATACATAACTTGCACAGGCCACTGTTCGCATAAGTGGATCTTTTTCCGCTTGAACTAGCATCCGCTTGAAGTAATTTCTGCTAAAATTGACAGGTTCCTGTAAACAACTGCTTCAAGGGGTGTTTAAATTTATATTTAAAGTTATACAGTTATTAATTTAATTATTTTACTTGTTTATTATTATAGTCTTTATTTTTAATAATTACATTTTAAAATTTAGACTCTGAAAATGTGCACACAAATTGGCTCTGATTTTTGACGGATTCTGGGCCTGAAGTTATTACCCTACAATATTTGTGAAGTTTGGAAACATGTATTTGAGGTTTGGCTTGTGCCGCAGATAAGAGGTTTAGGCCCTGCTCATATTGCCACTAGTTGAATGTGAGTAGGATACTACATACAAAAATTATAGGATAAATAATATTTAATTTTGTCTTTATTAATTAGATTCAACTACGTGGATTCCAATTTGCCACATTTTACTGGGAAGCTAGGGAGTATGTTCTTGGTATAAAATGGGCACAGAGCTATCTAGCAGTAAAGCACAATGATGACAGAGCTCATAAGTTGCTTGGCAACTTGTATGAGGGGGTGAAGGATTATGGCAAAGCAATTGATTGTTACAAGAAATCATTGGAGTTAAATGACACTCAAAGAGAATTGATACTAAGAAGTAAGTAATTTGCATTTGTATTAACAAAAACTTCATTAAGGTAAGCTGTTACAAACAGTAAAAAATTTAATATCGGTACTGCTGTGGCTAGCATCTCTAAAATTGACTTTCTTTATGTCACTGTGTTTTATGTGATTTTGAGCATTTAAAATTAAAATAATTGATTTCGTTACTTTTTTAGTTGCGTCTCTTGGTTGTACCATTCCAAATTATGATGTTGAAAAGTTACGATATTGGGTTGAGAGGGCAGAACGATTCTATCCCACTCACATCAATGTTCATAAAATTAAGGTAAGGATAAATACATGGTTCAGGGTTGTAGAAAACTAAGGTTGGTGGGTGATAACATCGGTGAATAAAAATAATAAGAGTGGATTTTTAAGGAGGGTTAATAATGGTGGGTGGAGGCAGTACCATTGAACTGTGCCTCTTCCATGTTTCATCACTATTGCTATTAAATTGATAAACTGAATATTAGTATTATTAAACAGGGATTAGAATAATAACATCAGTGATGATAATAGTGAAATGTAATAATTATTATTAATATGATAATCTGATTATTATTTCTCTGTACAGTAGAACCCCTCATTTACGTATGGGATGGGCCCAGAGGTGTTGGTAAAAATCATTTGTACGTAAAATCGGGGTTGTGTGAAATTCCTATGTATTTACACTACCGATATGCTAGGCTAGGCCTGGACTGAAATTTTGTTGGATTGGAGCCAAAA